GTAAAATAGTGTACTGAAAAGATTAAATTATCCTTGCCTCTCTTCCATTTAACAGTTATCAAGTCAACTGTTGTGTTGTCTCTGCTTGGCCACTAAACAGACAGACATGCAGAGAAATGATGACCAGAGCCATTGCTCTTTCTCCAGGAAAGCACAATAATCATCTCTTAGATTCCATTTTCACTAACACTGCAGTCTCAGTGATAACGTATACTGCATACTGTGCTTCTCTTTAGTTGTAATTCAGAAGAATTGAGGTTGAAGTGTTGGAGTTCTGCATCGAAAGATACAAAGACTATGTATCCCCTCCTAATGGGGAACCAGTCTCTAGGAGATTATGGGAAGAGAGAAAGTTAGTGGAGGCCTCTGCCTGCATCAGTTACCTGCTGAATAGTCTGCAGTGAAATTAACGGCACACTAGCTGAAAGGGAGACTCATAACTGAGCAGCATAATTGAAACCTGCTATAAAATGTCTTGATAGTTCTAGGGGCGAGCTGCCTTACCCCTCTACTGACTGAAGAAGCTGCTAAATACAAGATGGAGATCCTCAGACAGCAACTTTTTAACAGTCCCTTGATCCCCACTGTACTGTCACCTTAGTATGAACTTTAGGAAAGGCCCTTTGCCTAGGACAAACACAAGAAAGAAAAACTGTTATTTTAGTAATCCAATGGCAAACTGCCTCTAAGTCCCTGAAATCCAATTCCAACTATAACAGACAAAAAGAGTAAGACCACTTAGTTACAGGGATTAAATTTATTATCAATTTAATAAGTTAAACATATTCTGAACAGCTACTGGGCAAAAGGAAGAGCATGTGGGAGGAGTGGAGCGTGAGTATCATTCAGCTTGTAGAAAGGGAGAATAAGTTGTTCCTCAGAATAAGATAGCATCCAAAGGACTGATAAAGGTGTTCTAATGAAATCACAAGACAACTTTAATAATACTGGAAAGCAATAGGGAAAGTGTGCAGCATAGTGAAGAAAGGGCTGGGATTTTCTACATGCAGAGAAAGGAAAATAGGAGAAATACAAGAGTGTCTTGGAAGCGCGTGTATAGCTTTCATCTCTGTTCTGTTTTTAATGAAATTTTAATTTAAAACATGACCAGAATGCCTGTTCTTTGTTTGAAAAGTCCCCATGTCAGCTCATGATCTGCACAGTCCTATAAAGTAGGTGGAAGAAAATGAGAAACAGATCAACAGACCAACATGCAGCACCACATGTTGGAGATGGCGATGCACTTTTTTACTGGAGTTCTCTAGACTTCTGCAAGTGAAACAGAGCATGATTCTATGGTGACATCATTAAGGTGAGAAGAAGGTCAGGCAAGCCAGCCCATGAGTCAGTTGCCTATACTTTCCTGATCCATCAATCTTGTCAGAGTAAATTTTCAACTTATTAGCACCACATTTCCAACTGGTGGAGGAGAAGAGTCTGGTGACCAGTTTCTATTGCCAGTAGATCAGAAGAAAGGCCCCTCAAATCAGTTTTGTAGTCAGCAAGGGTTCAATGCTCAGTGAGGACATCATTAAATTCCTACAACTCTGCACAAAGCGCATGCATTCCTCTACTTGAATTTCTGATCCTTTACCTCCTTTCATTTTGCTACTCTGTGGTCAGCCTTTTAAGTGACTAATTTTTCATTAGTGATAAAACATTTGAGGCCAGGGCTTGAAATCATTAGTCCAGCTCAATTCTTCAGACTCCTAGTGTGTGGCTATAACCCTTAAGCCAGCAGGCCTCTAAAAAGGCATAATCTGCTTATTAAGCCATCAGCTATATACTGTCACAAGAACTAAAGTTTCTATGCAGGAGTTAGCCCTGGATGGCAGAGGGGATAAAATGGAACCTTATAGGTGGTTCAAGGTTTTGTGGTATTCTAGTATATCGAGTCAAGAAAAGTTCATCCCATCTCAAGTAGGGATTGGAAAAAGCTTGGCAGAGAAGTGCTGAGTGCACCCAGGTTCTGTGACTATGACATGCAGGTGCAAATGGCTCCATGTGTTTTGGGGACATTAGGTACGAACAGTATATGTGGCTCTGAGCCAGAGCTCTACCAATGGTATCAACACTTCTTGAAAGTTCAGCACTGTGACTGATTCTTATGTGTTCAGTGTAAAATGAGGTCCGTATAGTTAGTGAGCAGCATTTTACATTCCCATAGCGTACGGACATTCCTATCAGGTTACCAGATGCATGTCTTTGTTCAAGGACTTCACATTCTGGAAAGACACTTGTGTTTCACTTAAAGAAATCCATTTAAGAAAAGTTACGTACCGTTTTATTTAATGCGTTAATTGTTTCACGTAACGTAGCTTCACTGAGTGCTGTCCTTCTAGAGAGTACTTCTTCATGCTTACAGCTGTATCTCCAGGTGACATCAACAACCTCAAGCACAAGTTGAAGGAGAAAATAAAGCAACCAAAAATTTCCATGTATCTTGCTTCATTTAAAGAGGCTAGCTCAAAGTATATTTTTCTACAATAATTCTGTAAATCACACCAAGATGAGATACATCACACACTTGCCTCACAGCAAGTTTAAGTTTTTATTAACATCATTACTCCTACCTCATCTTTGGAGAATGCAATTATGTAGGAGAGCTTCTTTCCCCACCCAATTTCATAGAGAAGAGGTTTATCACAGACATTTTCACAGGGATCACAGTGAAGCCACCTTTTCTGAGATGAAGAATATACTTCAGTCCACAGATGATCTATATCACAAAGGCCAAGAATAAACAATGAATTATAAGGACAGATCCTCTCTCCTAATATTGCAGAATACTGTAATTTCTCCTGATTCATTAAATGAAGGAACAGGTGAAAGAACATGTTTTCTGTTCATCTACATTCAGGAAAGGTACCAGAGCTTTCCCTGTCTTGGGATCATGTTCCCTTAGATTCAACTAAAGATTGTATCATTCTGAAGTCAATCGTCTAACCTTACTTGCAGAAGTGTACTTCATCTTACCAGACGAGATAGGAAATTGACTTTATATTGTCTTTGCTGAACTGCATAATTTTATATACTGCCTGATGGCTAATATAATCTGAGAACCATAAAATATATAACCTCATTTTGCACAGGTTTGTATTAACATTATGATATTCTAGAATACTGATACCTGTATAGTCCCAGACATATCTAGCTTCAAACCCTACAGCTCTGCAACACAGTGTAAAACAGTTAGCCCACTCGCCGCAGCGTCCACGTCTGGTTTCCAGAAGTTTTTCAGGGTTATTGTACCTACAGGAGAAAAACAAAACAAAACCAGAATAATTGAAAATACATTTCACCTTTCAAAATCTTTACATCATACCTGTCCTTGTAATGATTTGAACAGATTTCAATACCATTCAGTCCACAGAAGACCATGGAAATGATTGCTGTACTGCACAAAGCAAGCACAAGCAGAACGCTACTTTTACTTTGACTCACATGACTTCATCATGTGTTTATCGCAGCACTAAAATGAATCTTTTTTCAAAAAAGTTTTCAAAATTGACTTAGACTTCATCTTAGAATAGGATTTTTGTACGCTGGTCCTTTTGATAGCAAAAATATCAAGAAATTGGATATTTGCTTTTTTGCTATAGACTTTGCAAAAGATGTGCATTACCCCTTGTGATGTCCCATAGAAGTGAAAGTTTTCCTTGAAATAACAAAAAACCTACTTACATACTATGCCGGTATTAATGTATTTTATTTAGCAGTTGTACTTTATCAAATTAATAGTAAAAAAAAGAAAATCAGACAAGTATTCAGAACAAGGCCACGTAAAAGAAAATAATCTTTTTTTTTTTTTTTAAACCTCTAATCTTATAAAGCAATTGCTGGTTCATCAACCATCCTACCATCTTGCTTAAAACGGCTTCTCTCATCTTTCAACCAACAACTTATCACTTGCTCACAAAGCTGTTTCTGCAAAGACAAGAAAGAGAGACATAGCAAACCTCTGTATGCTCACCTTGGGAATCTGTTACAGTACTGACACTTGTTGCAGTAATGGTTTTCCACTCGACTGACGTCCCACCTTAGATCATCATCAGTAGGCAACAGGTAGTCTCCTTTAGGCTCTGTCTGCCCACCACACCTGCTGCAAGGAAGATTATTTACCCAATGAAAAAAGTCATTCTTAAACCAGTCCAAGAGCTCCAACAACAAGAAGTCCTCTTCATTCACATGTGCACCTGTAAAAGTTATGCAACATAGTTAGGTCAAATGAAAAAATAATTCCTTTTCTGCTCGTAAATAGTCTTTTCCTATTCTTAACTATTAAACTATGAGTAACAATTGGTTTGATTTTATAATCCCAAAGAACCAGACACTGGCAGCAGTATAGACGACCAGGTGCAATATGAACAGACTTTCTAAAAACACAGCTTAATTATTGCAGAGCATGTATATATACAAGTTGAGTTTGTTTATAAATTCAGCTAATAAACACCTATGTCAGCTTACCCAAGCTAGACACAGGATGTCTTTATTTTCCACCACCTGGAAATAACCTAATTAGCAAATTTAAAAATCCAGTCTTCCAAAAGAAATCTATTCTTTCTAACTCCATAGTGTCTTTAAATGTATATTCTGCTCCAATGCCCAGGGAGATACTCTTCCTTCTCCGATTCATAAACATTCAAATAAGTCCTCCTATTAACTCCATCATCTAGGCCACACTGCAATCATAGATATTAATACCTGGTTATTTTATGTAATACAGCTTGCTTGTAGTCACAGCACAGACAGGTCTGACTAGTGAATATGAAGATATCAAAATAATTTATAAAAATCATGTTTAAAGAAGTTGAACGAAGTTCCACCAAATTTGTGCACTAGGTCCTTTTTCAGGATGGTGAAGAAAGACTAGGTAAGATGTGTGTTTTATTTATTCAAGCTCCATGCACATCTTCCTCCAAAGCCGAAGTTAGTCTTTGGTATAAAAGACTCTGTGGGGGTCCTAACTATTAAACATACATTGCCAAGACCATGAAGCACATGAGAAAAGATCACCTGTTAATCAAAGCAAGAAAACCTGGCTTTCAATTGTAGTAACATTTCCATTTTTACTTATTATATGTGAAAAAAACTTGTGCTGAAACACTCACACAAGGTGTTACTGCTTACAAAATGGATACACTTGTATATTCAAACTTCCTGCTAAAAGCTGAATGAGAGCTCAAGCACTGCCATATTCTCTTTTCATGGGTAACAACATACAAACCAGAACCCATCTATGAAAACACGACTGCTATCATATGAATATTCTTCTCTTGGTTTGTAAAATAAATCCTCCATGAACACATTGCATGGAAAGAATGACGAATGTGATTTATTTGAGCAGAAAACAGTTGGCTGTCACATGCAGCTATTTTTGACTGCACAATCCATCTTTCTAATGGAAAGTGGTAAAGGGAAAAGGTAAAAAAAAAAGTCTGTACTTCTGATCAAATTACTGTAATCTTCCTAGATTTTATGAGCTAAAAACCGCTTTTATGTGTTCTAAGGGAAGTCCTAAAAACCAAGTGTCCCCCAGCACTAACCAGTTATTCCCACAGGTGACAGTCTTAATACAGCAATACAAAACCAAAGAAGCTGAAAGAGCCAGTTACCCATACATCTCATGCACAGTCCTTCCTCAAAGGAATGTTTCCATAAAGCTCTTTAAAAATGCTTTCAAACTGTCACAATCTAGAACAGTGGAGTTCCACCCCTTCCCTTTTATTTGGACCTAAATAAAGGTCTGGAAGCCATTTTGAATAGATCAGCTTGATGGCTTGGGAAGAAGCACCTGGAAACACCACCCTCCTCCTTCCTTCCCCTTTTTAATAAGGTGCACAGCAGAATTAGAGCAGATGTATGCTTGTCTTCATTTTCCTTTTTAAAGGAATTTCAATAGTTTTCATCTATTACTGCTGTCTTTTTTTTCCCAGTGCATTGTCCTACACTGCTGAATGAGAATACTTTGTACTTGTTTATGTGGTTTCCTACTTCCCAGTATAGCTTTATAAAAAGAGAAAAACTACTAAGAAAACCCACTGTCAAAAAGTTCGCTAATGCCAAAGGCAAAATTACATATTAGTGCGTGGCTGTATAAGACATCACAAAGTAATTTATAACAAGGATGAGAAGAGCTTATTTTTGGTTTGCAAATAACGGCACTCCCATCAAGTTAGCAGAATTGCTTCAAACAGTCTTCTATCAAAGATTCACAGTGAAAAGGATTTTTTGGTTTAAATATTGTCTTGGATTTTTTTTTTATTTTTTAAATATTTATCCCATAAAAGTAAAGTTTCACTATATTGCTGAAACAAATCTAAAACTGCCACTTGAAAACAGAAATGTCATTTTTAACTGACAAAGACTTTGTACATTCAAAACAAATTTGCATTTATAAAGAAAATACAAATTTTAGCCACTGATGCCAAGATATCTATGCCTGTATTTCACCTCTTGCTCTAGGAGTATGGCATGTGAACAACCCTTTTCATTTAAGCATTAGCAAGAATGGTGATTCTTTGTATCAGGTTGTGTCTTGGAAAGGTCTCATGCAAAATCTCACCAGTAATATCACTTTAAAAAGAGAAGCAGCATTTTGAAATTTTATTCTCAATTTGGAGTTTTAGTATGTACGGGAAAATTGCACTCTGACGATTTCAAAACAATGACTACTCACAAAAGAAGCTCCCCTCCTCTTGTTGTATCTATTTCACTTTAGGTGCACGGAATATAACAGTGCGTGCTCACCCCATTTGTTTCCCTAACATTGTTTACTACTAATTTAGAAATTAAGAGTTCAAAATTTCTACATGAAAGTAGTAGAGGATGGATGACAAAAACTAAATTAAAAAAAAATAACAGAAGTAAGGAGAGAGAAGAGTAGAAAATTTGAAAATCAGGAAGAAGGTAATTCTAATTTAGAGATAGCATTTGGAACCTGCAGACATATGACCAAATCCACATACATGAAGCACAGCACACACATGCATCATCCAGATGTTTGAAAGAATATTTCTAGTTTCATATACAGTATAATGTGGTAGCATTACCTTTGTCCAGTCTTGTAGCTTGTGCCAGCTTTTCCTGAGCCTTCCCTTTCAATTGCTGGAGGGGAATTGAAGCTAGAACTTTCTGCTGAAGAGAAGGATTCTCATACATCAATACAGGATACTCAAATTTTGTTTGAAGCGTTTTCAAGATGTTTGCAGCCTGCAAAAGGAATTTCAGTCACAAGATGATTTATGAACTTCCACCTTATGCCAAAAGAACCAAACTCTTCTATTTTAGATTGTCAGTCATCATTCTATACTTATAGTTACATTATATATTTCTTTACAGGCAAAATGTTTATTTGTAAAGATAGCAATAAAAATTGCAGACACCACCACCCAAACTGCAAAGCCAGCCTTGTCATCTTTGAACATTCTGAATGGTGTCCTAAGTGAAAAGTGTACTGATTCAGGGAGAAAACTGTTTTTAAAGACACCTCTGATGGCAAAGTTTTTTACTTACTCCCCCACCCTCCAATCCCCACCCCATTTCTTTTGGACACCTTTTACCTGAAATCCACAAAAGAACCTGTAATTCATTCCACTTCCTAGACACTGCTGCACCAGTTCACAGAACTCTATTATTGACAAATGCTGCTTTTCTATTTATTATTCATGAAGGCTGCTTATCTATTTCTACTCCCTCCTCTCACAGATCAACTGACACAGATTTGAATAGAGAGCCCTGTGACCATAAACTGAACAGTGTATTTCACTAGAAATCAGATACAAGAACTAGGCTTCTTCAGTCAGTTATCCTAAGTGTCACTTAGTGGCAACTACATGTTGTACCCAATAAGGTACACCCATACCTACTAAAATAAAGAGCTAAATTTAATACTAGTGGAGTTAGTAGCTGAACAAACTACTCCCATTTAAAGGGGAACAACACAGAAAGTGAAATGGGATTTTAAAATTTAGAGTCTGGCATATTTTCGGGTGAAATCTGTGGCTAAATTACCTTTTCTCTACTGCTATATCATGCTTCAGTTGTTAGCTACCACCTTTGTTTCATCAACCTCCACT